TGCTGCTGCTGCTGCTGCTGCTGTTGCTGCTGCATCCGGGCATGCTGTTGACGATTGGCCGCAATCTGTTTGAGTTGCTGAGCATGGGATACTTCCTGCCAGCTTGGCAGGGCCCGATTTGCTCCTGACACTGTCTGAGGCTGAGCCTGGCTCTGAGGGACTGTAGGAATTGGGGACGAAGTGGTGAGGGCAGAATTGGCCATTGAGAATGCAGGGCCAGCTGATGGGGGCCTTAACTGAGGAGAGCTGGAGGGGCCTTGAGTCAGGCCAGGTGAGTATTCACTTTTGATCACCATCTTCTCCATGGGCAAGGAGGGTCGGGGCGTGCTCCTCTGGCTCTGCTGACCCAAGTCAATGTTAAATGGGTCGTCCTGCTTTATGGTGGCATTGATCATGTTCTCCAATTCAAGGTCACTCATGGGAGGCACAGATATGTTGGTCAGTTCATTGAAAAGTTCCTGCAGCTCAGGATCCATCAGTTGCTCTCCAGGGTCATCTCCATACCTATTACTAAAAAGATTCTCCTGGGGCATTTGGCCATCCATGTGCTTACTGCAAGACAGAGTCTCTCCTGGCTCTTTCTTCACTTCTTTTAAGCCCATGTTAAACAAAGCATTGCCAGGAGAATGTATGTGGGATGGCAGTGTGCTAATCTTTCTCGGGGGTGCCTGACTCATAGGCAAGGCCCCTGGCATAATTTGATTTTGTCCATTATTTACTTGGAGGCCACCTTGTCCAGTAGAGAGATTCTCCCCAACACGGATTCTTTTGATATCAAGGAAAGAGTTGTCAACAAAGCCATTGGGCCTCTTGCTGTTGGCAGGAGACAGGTTAACTACCTGTTTTCTTTTCAAGGAACCCTGAAGCTGAAAAACAGAAGGGGAATGAAAAAGAAAAAATTGAGATATTAATTCAGTTATACTTTAAATCAAGATCAACTAATATCTAAACTTTTTTTTTTTCATTTACACACAGAATTCGATTTTTTAACAAAAGCACAATTGAAGCACAGTCTGGAATATAATGAAATTCACAGTAGCACAAAGAGAACAAAATAAATGTTTCTGAAGGAGCATGTCAGTTAGGCCAGAGATCACAGTGGCCTCCATGATTGGTTGGTACACAGGCCAAGGGATGAAGAACCCTTCAAATACAGAAGGAGTTACTCACAGTATCTAAGGTTAGTCACTAAAGCCAGTTGTTTTCTGGAACAGGCCAAAATAGTCCTCCTGCATGCATACACAAGCTACAGGTGATCAGCATGCACACATTTTTGCCCCAGTTGGGAAAACACAAACAGGTCTAAAGCTGACAAAATTTCTAGTCCCCCCACCCCACAGTTTCAATCCTGCCATCACTAGTATCCTCTAAGTAGGTGATTAGAATAGTTCTCAGGTCCAAGTAGATATTCTATCTGTTGTGCATCTAATCTTCTTCCTATAATCCCACCACTTTTGCATTCAGGCATATGACAAAACATATTGTTCACAGTTGTCCCTCTGCTCCATGCTGGCCATTCCCAGATTGTAATCATTTTACCTGGGATTGAGAATGTCTCCATGCTTGCTGCCCCTGGCCCCTTCATGCTAGAAGGGGCAACACTGTAAGGATACACAGAGCCATGAGATTACCATTTATTCAGTGAGACACTCTAGGTATACATTTTTCAGGAACTCCTTTCTTCTGTTGATTGTTTCTAAATCTTGTAACGAAAACCAAGGTGTTGAGAAGAAGTGCCACACAGTTGCCAGGAGTTCAGATTCTGGGATCAGACTAATCCAAACTCACACTCCAATTCTTTCTCTGAACGTCATGTAACCTTGGCAACTTATTTACCTGAGCCTCAATTTCCTCATCTGGAAAAGGGGGCAAGCACTTACGTTATAATGAGGTAATGCATATAAAATTTAACACAGTGCTTGCTGTAGTAATGAATCAATAAACGGTAGTTTATAGAAAAAGCATGGCTTGTTATATTCTGAAAGGGAGCATGTCTCCAAAGTGGCAACATGTTTAAGTAGTTCATGAACTCAGTGATTAGATTTTCTTTATGAAACTTGAAAGTTATTGAGAAAGATTTAAGGACCATACACTTACACTGATAAATTTCTTAGAAGGATAAAACATTCATCACTGGGTCTCTGGTCCTTGTTGATTTGTCTCTAAAATGAGAATCTATCATTCAATGCGTGGCTTTCTCAGTGCTGCTGACCCACTTTAATTATTTCATGTTTGCTCAGGATAACCATAAAATACCTGAGGTATAATGCTTCCCAGATGGAAAATTCTACCACATCTTTCCTTCTCACTTATAGCCACTCCCTCACCCTCCTGAAAATTTGTAGGTAGCCTAATCAAGAAGGAAAAATTACCTGAGAATACATTCTATGCCAAGTATTTTAAATATGATTATTTTATTTTCCTTAATCTGTACAACTATCCCATTATATAGGTAATATAATCCTTGTTTTATAGATAAGGAAACCAAGGCTTAGAGAGTAACTTGTCCAGGGTCACATAGCTAGTAAGCAGTAGACCTAGACTTTAATTCAGTGTCTGTGTAGTTCTAAAGCCTGGGTCATACCCACTCTAATATGGTGGAATTAGCTTGTCTAGGCCCACAGTGTCCACCTAGCATGAAGGGATCAGGGGCAGTGAGTATAGCCACATCTTAGACCACAGGTAAAATGATGAGAAATCTGGAAAAGGTCAGGATGCAGCCCAGAGCCTAATATGAAGGATATGTCTCTGTGATCTAGTTAAGCAACACCAGTTCCAGTTATTCCTTACCCCATGCCTGAACTGTCTGCTCACAGGAGGTGTGTAGTTATGGTGTGTGTGCAGTTATAATGTGTGTGCAATGCTGGTATGACAGGTTTTGACTTTTACAATTGTTGATTAGTAACCACAGACAGAACTCTGACCCTGGTGGCCCAGTAAATCCTTCCCATGAGAATTCTAGATTTGGAGAACGTGAGACCAGGTTCTCCCTGGATGGATGTGCACTGATATACAAAACTTCTGAGCTATTATGATGTCAACCAAAGCCATAGAGGAAGTAAGTCTGTAGAAAGAAGAATGAAGCAGAAAGGAAAGACACATGGAGGGCCTGATTCCAATCCCAGGTTAGATCTGCAATGAATTTCCCTGTTTGCTTGAGCTAACTTTAGCTTGAGCTGACTTTAGCTTCTGTTACTTTCAACCAAGAGTTCTAACCAAATTCCCTGAGACTTCGTGTTCAGTGATGAACAAATTTGCAGCAAGAAACAAAGACACACACACCATGGTGAAAAGCTTCCTGCCATTCCCCATCTCTGCTGTCTCTCTGATTTGCTGACTCCTAATTTTGTCTACTTACTGGTGTAGACAACATCATCCTAGAACTATGTCAGCCATCACCACATTCAGCAGAAACTCAAGTTGCCACAGTCTGTCTTCCCCAGATCAGGAAGAGCACAAACCAGAGAGATTCAGTCACATTGCTTTTGATTTACTTCAGCATTAGCTGTATTTGAAGGTTCTTTTGCAACTAGTAAAGAACAAACAAAAGAGTACATTCTTTTTCCAGATTTGGGCTGTTGCCGTTGATTTATTTTTCCACTCTTTTGAAAAAAAGAAAAAAAAAAAACCTGTTCTGCCAGATTCTCCCAGTGCTCAGGCCCCTCCCAGGCAGTTCAGTGCACACTCTGGGAAACAGTGCCAACTCTCTCATTAGGCCACCAGGAATGTGGAGGCAGCAAGAGAATTAGCAATAGCTGTAGTGGAAGTGACAATAGTAATAACAGTTAGGGCATGTGCACTAGGCTTCTAGGTAAGCTTTTTGTATAAATAATGCCATTTAATTCTTTCAGTATAAAGGAGATACTTTGGTTCTATGATTCTGCACAACAGCTGTAAAGGTGGATACTATTTGTACCCTTGCCCCCATTTTGCAGATGAATAAAACTGAATTGTAAAGATTGAATAACTTTTCTATGTATCATACACATAGTAAGCAATGAAAGCAGGAATCAAACTTCACTTCTCCAGGCCACAGTTCTTTCCTTTATATACAACATTATCCCTGAAATTTGTTTCCTGCCCAAGCCCAGAAAATAATGAGCACTGTGGTGAAGTTTGTTCTTTATGAATGGGGATGGCAGGTCACACCAAGCATAGCTGGGGGGATGGCTTAAGAAAAAGTGATATGTGGCTCCATGAGGATAGAAGAGATCCCATTAAAACTCCAATGGCAAGAAGGCAGGGCGGGGGAGGGGAGGGGACACTTATAATCTGTCGGTGGGAATGTGCATTAGTCCAGCCACTGTGGAAATCATCATGGAGGTTCCTCAAAAGATTAGGGACAGGGTGGGGGCGAGGGGGGTCTGGGGTTGTGGCTCAGTGGTAGAGCGCTTGCTAGCTCACCTTGCAGAGACCAGGCACTGGGTTCGATCCTCAGCACCACATAAAAATAAATAAATAAAATAAAGATTAAAAAAAGACTAGGAATGGAACCACCACATGATCCAGTAATGCCACTCTTTGGTATTTACCCAAAGAACTAAAATCTGTATACTATAGCAATACATGCATACTCATATTGATAGAAGCACAATTCACAAAAGCCAAACTATGGAGCCAGTCTAGGTGTATCTTTCAACCAATGAATGGGAAAAAAAAGTGGAATGTATACACAATGGAGTTCTATTCAGCCATAAAGAAGAACAGAATTATGTCATTTGCAGGGAAATGGATGAAACTAGAGAGCGTCATGTAAAGCGAAATAATCCAGACTCAGAAAGTTAAGGGCCAAGTGTTTTCTCTCATATGTGGAAGCTAAAGAGGGAAAAAAAAGGGGGGGTATCATGAACTTAGAAGGAAGACCAGCAGGGTAGAGGTAGGGGTGAAGGGGGAGGAATGAGGGGAGAGAAAGGACAGATACTGGGGAATGAAATTGATTGAATTATGTTCAGTGCATGTGTGAATGCCACTATTCTGAGTAATTTAGGCATCATTAAAAAATATTCCAGTAAGCATAATAATTTTACCAAGAGAATTTTGGTGATAGGCTGTGCCAGAGATAAGCTATGTCCTGCCTTTTCAAAGTTTCTAATTATGTCACCAAAGCCCACTGAATGCACAGATATAGTAGGCACCAAACTACTGGTCCGATACAATATAAATGATTTTCAAATTTCACTGTTTGCTTTAAAGTATTTCCTTCATCAGACAAAATCTTTTCCTCAGATACATGGTTTTGAATTATGATATAGAGCTCTTAAAGATCCTTGTCAAAATGGAAACACTCTAGAAGCGGGAGAGGAGAAACTATCATTAATATCTCTGTAAGAAATACTTGTCAGAAAATTCAATGTTGACTTATCAGAACAAGAATAAGAGACCTAGGGGAACAAGACCCAATTAGAGGGATATTGGCAACTAAGACATGGGTTCCAATGGAGAAGGAGACGGGCAGGATTAGAGGAGCTGGAAGCTCCGCAGTGTAGACTTTTTGGATGGCTGGGGCCAGGGAAGGAGGGGAGATAAGTTTGGGGAAACTGTAGGGGCAGTGTATGTTCTGAGGGTCAGAGAGCAGCAACTTCCAGAAAGCAGTTAATCACATTGGAGAAAGCATCTCCAGTACAGATCTCTCACCAAGGGTCAACTTACAACCAACTTTGTTACTATGGGAAAGACATAGCTCCTAGGGCCACAGTTGAATCTGGAGCCTACAAAAATGTATTAGTTTATTCAAAACAGAAGAAAAAAGTGAGTGATTAAGTTCAATAAATATCTTCACATCTAATGTAATTTATTTATCTTCATGCCAATCTAGTTGTAAAATACAATTTTTAATATTTTTTTCCAGAAATGCTTAATCTGCATA